AAAGCATATGTTAATTAGGTCTATTTAGCCCTTCTACAATGTATACATATTTCAAAACATCATACTTTACATGATAAATATATGCATTTATCTGTCAATTAATAAATAAATTTTATTTAAAAATTAGAGAATAATGGTTACAAGTGCATGCAGAGAAGAGGAGAACTGTGGGATGGTGGTCAAATTGTATAGTTTCAGTTATGTCAAATATGTAAGTCCTAGGGATCTATTATAGAGCATGATGACTATAGTACCAGTAACAAATACTTGAAAAGTACGAGAGAATAGATCTTAAGTGTTTCCATATGTTGTTTCTTTTCATACTTCATTGGCCATAACGCAATCATATTTCTGAAAATAACTGTCAGATAAAAAGGGAAACTGACTTGTGTAACAAAAGCAAGTCTACACGTCCCATAGCAATGCAACGTTACTGTACAAAGCAAACCAGGAACCTTTCTCTTGAAAACAAGCAACATCCTTTTGTCCATGTAATTACTTGCACATGAAGTACCCTATCTGGTCATTTTATTACACCATAAAAGAGAAAATTAGTATATAACTGAAAAAGCTGGTTTTGAAAATTCTTGGTCAATCTGTACATTCTTTTAATTGTTGTATTTATAATGGTAATAAAATATGGCAGCTGTTTAGAGGTTTTTAAACATTTCTTGGTCTAAGTTGTGGGGCTTAACCGTTCCTTTCAACTATTCTAGGCTGAAGCAGTTGCTGGGTTCTGCGTAATACATTGCTCAGAAAACGGTCACAGCAGTGTCTCCCTGACAAAGATCTGGTCCTAACCCTTTGCAAAAGGGGAAATCTTATTTTCCTAGAGTTAACTGCCACTTTCTGATCCACACTGATATGGTTGAAAATGAAGAATGGGGCATATGTGTGATCCCCCTCATTAATCTAACTTAACCATTATTTTTATTGCTGTTTTCCTAAATCTGAACTGTTATATCATCAATATAATGTTAGGAACTGTTGAATCTCTTTGTTATCAATAACGTGACTTTTATTTATTTGATCTTTATTATTATATTTTAATTGCCAGAGAGAGTGTGTGCTCACCAGAGAGAAACAGAGAAAGAGCAAGAGAGAGAAAACACCTCCAATGGGGCATGGTAACACAGATATCCCTTCTCCACTTCTCCAACCTTCCAGGAGTTTGAGCACACATGCATTGCAGGCCTGGCGTTTTATTCAAGCTGCCAAGGCTAGGATTTGAACTGCAGTTGGCTATGTAGGATCTGGCTCCCTTAACCATGAGGCTATAGAGCCTGTCCTAATGTGGCTTTAAATTTGACTCTAGGATTTTTTTGAAATCTCTCTTTGTCTCAATTTGTTCCATCTTCAAACTCACTTGTTCTTTCATAGAGGAAATGTCTTTTTAAAACTTTTTCAGACTCAAAGTAGATATATCCCAACAATTTTTTTCTTCTTGTAATAAGTTTGTTTTAGAGGATGCTGAAACATATTTTTCAAGACCTTCTATTTTATCCACATTTTTTCTTTCTTTTTTTAAAGATATTTTTGCTATAGGGCGTGTGCACTTGCCAGAAAGACAGAGGGAGAAAGAGACAGAAAGTGAGACATCACCCCCCAGGAGGGATGGCCATGACGCAATCCCTTCTCCTCCATTCTCCTCTTGGGATCTTGAGCATGCATACACACATGCCTGGGACTGGCCACCGGATCTGGGACTTGAACCATGGTCAATTACATGGGTGTCCAGCAACACAACTATTACGCCAACTGCTGGTCCCTTATCCACATTTTTTATGGTATAGAACTTTTTTTTTTTTTTGAGAGGTTTTTGCTATAGGGCACATGAACACCAGAGAGAGACATAGAGACAGAAAGCGAGAAATCACCCCCCAGAGGGGATGGTCATGCCGCAATCCCTTCTCCTCCATTCTCCTCTCGGGATCTTGGGAACGCACACACACGCCTGGTGTGAATTTTAAGCCACCGGGTCAGGGACGCGAACCACAGTCAACTACGTGGGAGTCCAGCGACATAGCCATTACGCTAACTGCTGGTTCCCTGGTATAGAATTTTTCATAATCTCTTATGTTGAGAGATTTTTGCTATACGGTGTGTGTACTCACCAGAAATATAGAGAAACAGACAGCAAGAAATCACACCACACCAGCGAGGGAATGACCACACCACAATCCTTTCTCTTCCATTCTCCTCTCAGGATTTTGGGCATGCACGCACATGTGCTCAGCATGAGTTTTAAACTGCCAGGTCAGGACTCAAACTGCAGCCAACTAAGTGGGAGTCCAGTGATGTCACCATTATGCCATCTGCTAGTCCCAATTTTGTCATTTATCCAAAGATTTATAGGTATATATCTATGTAAATATATATAATAGATGGTGTAAAAATATGTCTAGGGAGAGATAATACATATAGATAGTATATGAATAATTACATGTATATTTGTACTTTTCTATTTTACTATTCTACATTTTTCTGTTTATCCCTTCTGTAGTTTTCTGTTATTAATTTAATATTACAGAAAGAGTAACATTTGAACACAGAATACTCCCTTTCTCAAGAATGTCAAAATATTGTGCTTCACATGCAGTGCTCACATATTCAACTCTGTTATTTATTTTTACATGACAAGAGACTTGATTTTTTTAAGAAAAAATCTTGAAATTACAGTAGTAATATGGAATTTATGTGTGTTTTTTCACTTCTGGTCTAGACAATATTTTTAAACATTTATCTTTCTATCTCTCTATCTATTGTAGTTTTTTGTTGTTGTTGTTTTAGAGATGTTTTTTCTATAGGGAGCATGCACTCACCAGAAAGACAGAGACAGAAAGCCAGAAATCATCCCCCAAGGGGGATGGCCTTGCTGCAATCCCTTTTCCTCTATTTTCCTCTCGGGATCTTGGGCACGCACACACATGCACCCGGCATGAGTTTAAGCCACCAGGTCCAGGATTCAAACCATGGTCAAATACATGGGAATCCACTGACATAGCCATTACACCAACTGCTGGTCCCTCTATTGTAATTTTCAAGCCACCAGGTCTGGGACTTAAATTATGATCGGCTACATGAAAATCTAGCACCTTAACCACCACACCAGCTGCTGGTTCCAGGTCTAGAAATTTTTTAAATCTTTTAACATTGAAGACGTAAGTATTGTCCTAGTGAATAATGAAAACATTATCTCAAGAATTGATTGGCAATTCTTTTCCATATTCTGAATTTTCATTTTTCTACTCTTTCATAAACAGATTTGAATATTACATAATACATTATAGAGGACTAAAACTGAGAGGAAGACAATAAAAATCATTCTATAAAGTTTTTTAAAGAATAGATAGAAGGGAATGTAACATGAATAATACATTTAAAATGTTCTTGGTTGTCTGAATTTTCTGCAAATAGAAGGGTGTTTTACATAGTTCCCATGACATATAAAAAGGAAAATTTTGAAAGAATTTTTTTTTCTTTTTTTGGAGAGTTTTTTGGTTTTTTTTTTTTTTTTTTTGCTATAGGGCACGTGCGCTCGCCAGACAGACAGAGAGAGACAGAGAGACAGAAAGCAAGAAATCACCCCCCAGGGAGGATGGCTAAGCCACAATCCCTTCTCCTCCATTCTCCTCTAGGGATCTTGGGCACACACACACAAGTGCCCGGCGTGAGTTTAAGCCACTTGGGTCCGGGACTTGAACCGCGGTGCACTACATGGGAGTCCAGTGACATAGCCATTACGCTAACTGCTGATCCCAATTTTTAAAGAAATATTATAGAGATGCTAAAAACCTTGGGGACCCAAGTGGCTAGGGCTTAACTATAGCATCACACAAATACTGAGAGGAAAACACAAGTCGCAGAGTCCCATCTCAGTACAGATCATATTAGGTAGGGAGTTGTTGAATATTGAGAAGTTGTGTCATTTTATCAACTCATTTTATGTTTTAGAACTATTGATCTAGGACATCAACTGTCTCATTTTGCAGTCACAGAATGACAAAGCAGATATTTAAGTAATTCACTTAGTTTTATATTGCAAAAACAAACTCTCCATTCCATCAATCACCAGTTCTGTGATATTTTCTTGGTTCCATTTATCTATCCAATAGAAAAACAATATTCATTGACACTTATTCTGGGTTTTATTATTCTAATTTTTAATGATTCACTTATAGATACCTGAAGGACGATTTTCTAAATGAAGTTATTTTAAGTCATAATATACTGAAAGATTTGGGGAGTACTTTAATCCTTTAAGATTAGATTAATTTTAGATTATTTCATATCATAAGTCCATTTTCATCAATGAAGTATCCATGGCTTTAATTAAAATTTCAAGAGGGTTATACTCTTCCCAAAATATGAAGGGCAATTGATCTAATGGAGTTTTTTTAAGTTTATTTATTTCTTCCATGAGCAAGAGAGACAAAGAAATAGAGAGACAGGTACCCTCAATTGGGTCTCCATGCCCCAATCTTCCCCCAGTTTCAGTCAGTCTTGGATTGCAGACACATACAAGCCCAGTGCACAGAGCCGGAACCCTCCCACACAGGTCAGCCTTGCGGAGCACTGTAGTACCCCCTTACCACTGCCCAGCCCCTAGGACCACTGACCTAATCTCTACCTATGACTGTTTTTCCAGACCATGGTTGAAGCAGAGTATTAATTCCAAAGTTCATAGATTGAATATTGAAGCTCGTTGATATTCTCGAAATACGCAAGCTATTGAAGATAATAAATCACTTTTTCTTTGCTCTCCTGTTGCACATAAAATTCCCACGAAGCTAAAGCATACTGAATATCCCTTTATGATTTTTATTCTCCACACTTAAAAGAAATGAAGAATAAGAAAATAAGTCAAGTAGGTAACACATGCACATAATAACAGTGTTTACTCTGTTTCAACATGTACTTTGTTTCAACTTGTCTAGTATTTGGGAGATAATTGCCTTCTCTGGTTAGAGATGAAATGCTAAAGCAACAAGAAAGGCTCTTCATTAGATCTCTTTATTCAGCATTGTATTTTATACAGAAACGTCAATAGCATAAGCTTAGAAAGAATGAAATGAACGTATGTGTGTGTGTGTGTGTGTGTGTGTGTGTATGCACACACACACATATATGTACACACATAGTGCTTTTGTAATAGAAAAATTTGAGGTGAAGAAAGATAATTAAATGTCTCAAAAGAATAGACCTATTTTCCTCTCTAGAGGTTGGAAGAGCTATTATGTTCCTTTGAGCAGCTGATGGAGGACATCATCAAAATGGAAGTTACTTCTTTGTGAGAAAACTGCCAGCTTCCCTTGATAGTAATAGATATTACCTTTGGAATACATCTGTGGGGAAAGAAAAGCTGTTTCAGTAAGTGGTATCCCTATTGTACTGCTTCACCTAAGCCCAAACACTCTCAGACTGCTTCTCTCATTACGTTACTTCAAATAAAATAGATATGAAACTTTCACAAAAATGTCCTAAATTCTGACCAAATTAACTAAGTCATCGTGTAATTCATATTATGTCATAATTCCAGTTCATGGATTTCCTAACGACTGCTGGAAATTTGCACTACTTGAAAGCATATATTATTCCTGCAATTGTGTGGATGTTACATCATAATAGTGAATAGATAAGATGAATGTCAATTGATAGAGCAAAAAAGAAATAGGAATCAAATAAGCTCTTTAAAACTTCCACAACGTAATTTAATACACTGGTTTCTCCCCTGACAATATTTGGAATGAAACACTTTTGTAATAAAATTAGTTATAAAATGTTACACATCAGAGGTTCTGCTAGATTTTTTTCTTAGCAGAAATCTTCTTCAATATGTTTCATATACGTGAAACTATACGTGACAAAAATATTTTATGTGGACTTCCATTATGACCAGCCACAACTGAATAACCTATGACTCGACTCAAAGTTAAACCTGTAAAATTCAGAGAATTTGTTCTGGTGACATCGCCTTTGCTATTTGACAAGCTTTTCCTATTCAGATGGTGACTCCTCATTTTCAATCATCCAACACTCCTCTGTCATCTAGCTTGTTCCCCCTTCACGCAAGCATGAGTGGAGTTGATAACAGTCATTTGAACACGTTAACGCATTTTTCTTTAGAGTTAGTGTAGTAACTCAGCCAACCATTAAACTTCTAATTGTGGAATGCAATTGTTTCTCATGAAAGTTAATTAAAGGAGGGAGACTCCAAATGACACTATATTTACTCTAATGCAAACAAATTCTGAATGCAAATCTGGTAGTTTTTTGAGGGCCTCCAGTGGTAATGAAAGGCGTGTGTATAGATGGAGATGTTGAACCAGAGTCTTTTTGTTCTCCAGAAATGACAAAGTTAAACAGGAGGCTTGACTGGCTTTGCCTTCTGATGGCTTATTTCAGAGTTTGGAATGTGGCTGAGCATGTCAGGAACACTAAAGCCCTTGTAAAGAAGTTATTTTTGTGTGACACCATATAAAAATAGTAAAAGAATCAAACATATAATCTTAACGTATTCTTTTCTAAACTGACAATAATAATCAGCAAAAAATTATATTTACTAAATAAACATATTTCCTTAAAAAGAATATGTGCTGTTAGGACGATGAGGCATTAAATAGTTTCAGGTCAGGGTACATTAGGCCTAGGAAATACTGGTTGTAAATGCTCATTGAAGATACAGGATTTCAGGCATTGATTCAAAGACAAAAGGGGAAGAACTTAACTACAGTAAGAAAGAATTTCATAAAGGGCAAAGTATAACTTGTTGCAGAGCCAGGTTGCTGACAAGAATTGGAGAACATATTTCTATTTAAATCTACTTACATAGGTGGAGAAATATAGAGACAACCCAATCTTGAAGGGCCAGGAGAAAGGTGGGGAGGGAACAGCTCTGAGCTGAGTACATTGTCCTTGAGGTCTACTCTACTAAAAGTTCCCAAACAGCACAAGACCGAAAGGCTCAGGAGACAGGAACAAAGTAAGAAGAAATTTAAGCTGAGATTTTGGCATTCTCAGCATCTGTGAAGTCAAAATCTGTTTCAAGTTCAAGAAAGCAGGGTCAGAAATGAGTAAATTACAAAGTAAAGGGAAGAATGCTGAAGAAAGTATAGCATTATGCAATTTTTCTCCTCAAGACATTTGCTAGATTTTATTTAGTGTAGGGCCAAGAAGTTGGGATATAGCTGATGGGGTGGAGGGTAAGGTGGCTGCATCCTACATGGCTGACTACACAGTTTGAGTCCCCCAGACCCAACGGTTTGGAAAATATACCAAGTACATGTGTGTGCGTGTGCGTGTGTGTGAGTGCGTGTGCGCAAAATCCCAAAAGAAGAATGAAGGAGTAAAGAAAGAGCAATTAAAGCATGGCCATCCCCCATGGTTGGGGGTGCTTTTTCACTTTCTCTCTATCTCCAGCCAGCATATGTGCCGAGAGAAAAAAAAAAAAAGTTTTAAAATGGCAGGGACAGATTTTGAGACATGC